ACCAGTTCCTTCAGTAGCTTTCTTGCTGTTGCCTTTGCTGAGGCCTTCGATACTGGGTAGGCTTCAGGCCAACCTTAAAAGAGATCAATGCACACCAACACATATTCATACACTCCTATCTTAGGCAGTTGAATATAGTCTATCTGCACTCTCTGGAATGGGTAAAGTGGCATCTGGTTGTAGGGTGTTTTAATCATTTGACCTGCATTATTCCTAGCACAAATCATGCAGCTTTGAGTATGTTTCGCAGCAATTACAGTGAAACCTGGAGCAATCCAATGTGCATTTTCCAAATGGATCATGTTCATTTTTGACAGATGTGTAGGTCCGTGGGCCACCTGGGCAGGGCCGTCTTTAATAACGAATGGACCCTGGGCAAGTGTTTGCTTGGGCCCCCTGTGCCCTGCCGCTCTCGCCCCTCACTCCCTGGTATGCAATCACGGCATCCATCCCAACGCAGTGGCGGTACTAAAGTAGAATGAATTTTATTGGGACCCCCAATTGCAAGGTTGGACTAAAGGTAGAACCCCATCTGTCGTGCAACTCCAACAATGCTTTGACAGCTGGGACTCTACCAATTTCCCATGCTTGCAGGGTTGTATTTAGCACTGAGCCATGTTTGTATGTTTGAATGTAAGCATGTGTTTGTATGGAGTATGTTTGTGTGAATGTGTTTGTATGTGGTACTGGAGTTTGAATGCAAGTGTGCATTTATGTGTAGTGTTTGTTTTTGAATGTAGGAGTGTGCTTGTATGTAGTGTTGACGTTTCAATGTAGGAGTGTGTTTTATATGTAGTGTTGAAGTTTGAATGGAGGGGTGTATTTGTATTTAAAGTTGCGGCTCAGATGCACAGGTACACACTCTGACGCACAAGCAGATACACAGATACATACACTGACTACATACAGATAAACAGGACACACTGACACAGGTACATATATTGACACACACACAGACACATACACTGGTAGACGTACTGACAGACATACTGACACAGGCACATATACAGACATACTGACACACAGACACATATACCGACATACTGACACACACACACAGACACATACACTGATCAACATACTGACACACATACACTGACAGAAATACTGACACCCACACACTGACAGAAATACTGACACCCACACACTGACAGATATACTGACACCCACATACACTGAGAAATACTGACACACACACACAGGCACATACACTGCACACACAGACTGATATACTGACACACACACACACAGACATACTGGCACACAGACAGATATACTGACACATGCATACACATGCACTAACAGACATACTGACGCACTGACAGACATACTGACACATACACATACTGACACACACAGATATACACACACATATATACTGACACACAGACAGACAGACATACTGACACACACATACACACAAACACACATTTTTAAAAAAAAATGTAATCCCCCCAGCCTCCTTACCTTTTGGAGTGCTGGGGGGGATTCACTGGGGTCCAGTGGTGCTGCTTGGCTCCTGGGCGGGTGGCCGGTCGGGCAGGAAGGCGGGCACGCGAGGGAGCACTCACTGCTTCCTCTTCAGCTCCCTCTCGCGCCGCGTAGGCATGCTGGCGCCGGAAGATGACGTCATCTTCCGGCTCCGGTATCAGTGCGGTGCGCGAGGGAGCTGAAGAGGAAGCAGTGAGTGCTCCCTCGCGCGCCCGCCTTCCTGCCTGACCGGCCACCCGCCCGCCGGGGTCAGCAGGGCCAGCCTCGGGGGGGGCCCTGAGGTGGCCGCCTCCTGGGCCCCCCAGGGGAAGACGCTGGCCCTGTGGGTGCATACCAGGGTCGCAGCCGCGACCCTGGTATGTACGCCACTGCCCTAAGTGCATGGGCCACCCGGTGGGACTCAGAGGATGGGGAAAAAAATAAATTGATGAGGGCAGCGGGGCCCACGGGGCAGGTGCCTCGGGAAACTGGGCCCGGGGCAGCTGCCCCGTTTGCCCTGCGTTAAAGACGGCCCTGCACCTGGGCCAGCAATGGGTATAAAACATTGGGTAAACAAAGTTTCACATTTCTACCCCATTTTGTCAGTGTCCTGATATGCTGCTCCCAGCGTCTTCCATTGTTCTTGTTCTTTTGTGCTTTCCTGCTTCTGTAGGCTTTGCAGTATGTCATATGAAACAGATTGGGCTACTGTCATAGTCTGTAAATACATTTTACCTGCAAGGTATGGTCGCTTGCTTTAATTACCCCGTGTAGTAGTATACACTAGATATGCATTTATCGGTATCTAAAATCTGGCCGTATTCTCCACTGTATTTGGCAAACTGACTAGGAGAGTTTCAACACGTTCTCCCTGCAGTCCACTTTTCTTCCACTGATGTCACTCACCTTTCAAGACCGATGTCAGGGAAAGCAGGTTGAGTCTTTAGCTGTCTGGCACCACCAGATATGCACAAAATTGATATAAGCCAGCAAGCTGGCTAATGATATCCCAATGATGTGGCTTGAGGTGGAATTACACCTCCAGTAGAAGTGGAGTTAAACTTTGTATGTGCAAATTTTCAAAGCAAAACACTGCACATACAGACTCCAGGTACCATGACCAGTTTAAATCAGTGAAGTAGTGATGGTGCTTGGAACAGGGGCGTACCTAGAGCATTTGGCACCCGGGGCGGATCCTGTGCTTGGCACCCCCCCCACCTCCAAAAAAAAAAAAAAGAAAGAAAACTTGTTAAAGGTTTTCTTTCTTTTTTTTTTTTACAAGTAAAGTTTGCCGCCCCCCCATGTTACATCACAATGCCCCACCCATATGATTTGCCATGTTAACTAACGCCAGTGCTGCAGTGCCGCCGTGTTTACATTAAAAGGCCTGCAGGGACAGGCTATAGACACCAGAACCACTACATTAAGCTGAAGTGGTTCTGGGGACTATAGTGTTTCTTTAATGTGAGGTAAATTAGAGCTTAGTGCCACGAATAATATACTAGATTGCCTACTTACAACCAGATGAGGATGATGATGGGCTCTAGCTGCAGTCTGGCTCCACTGGTCTGGTGCAGAACAGGCTCTCTGGAGGCGGTTTGTAACTGTGGTCACAAAAATCAATGTTCTGGGAGAACGGGAAGCAGCTCCATTTTTTTGGGGCCCTTTACACAGCTCAAGGTCTGGGTCCCAGGGTCCACCTTCATGTTCCACCAATGAGTTTGTTCACAGGGGGTGGAGTGTGTAGGGGATGTCCTGATATGTGTAAGGAATGCATTGTGTGAAATTGTGTTTGTATGTGTAAGGACTGCAAGGTGTGTTTCTGTGTATGTATGGGATGCATTGAATGTGTGTAAGGGGTGCATTGAGTGTGTGTAATGAATGCATTGTGTGTTTCTGTGTGTGTAAGGGATGCATTGTGTGTAGCGGTTGCATTGCTTGTGTATGTGTGTCTGTGTGTGTAATGCATTGTGTGTTTTTCTGTGTGCAAGGGGTGCATTGTGTGTATGTGATGAATGTCAATCTCTCCTCCCGCTCCAATTTCCTTCTCCTCCTCCCAATTTCTCTTTCTCCCCCCCTCCTCCCAATTTCTCTTTCTCCCCCCCTCCTCCTAATTTCTCTCCCCCCTCCTAATTTCTCTTTCCCCCCCCTCCTAATATCTCTTTCCCCTCCTAATATCTCTTCCCCCCTCATTTTAATTTCTCTCCCCCCTCCTAATTTCTCTTTTACTCTAATTTCTCCCCTAATTTATCTTCCCCCCTCCTAATATAAAACCCCTCTAATTTCTCTTCCCCTCCTAATTTCTCTCTCACCCCCTCCTTTCTCTCTCACCCCCCTCCTTTCTCTCTCCCCTCCTCCCCCTCCTTTCTCTTTCTCACCCCCCCTTCTCTCTCTTTCTCACCCCCCCCTTCTCTCTCTCTCCACCCCCCTTCTCTCTCACCCCCCCTCCCCTTTCTCATTTCTCACCCCCCTCATTTTCACCCCCTCTTTCTCTTTGTCACCCCCTCCTTTCTCTCACCCCCCCCTTTCTCCTCTTTCTCACCCCCCTTTCTCCTCTTTCCTCACCCCCCTTTCTCTCCCCCCCACCTTTCTCCTCTTTCTCACCCCCCTCATTTCTCACCCCCCCTCCTTTCTCTTCTTTCTCATCACCCCCCCCCCACCACCTCTCTGTAGCGTGGCCGAGCACAGTATAGTCCGCGGGTGCAGAGAGCAGCTGTCTCCTGTACCCGGCTGGACTAACAGGAAGTGCACACTCAGTGTTAGTCCGGCCGGGTACAGGAGACAGATGCTCCCTGTACCCCCGGACTATACTGGGCTCGGCCACGCTACAGCAAAGGAAGCTGACAGGAGGGAGCGCTGAGCGCTGAGCGCTGAGCGCTTCCCTCCTGTCAGCCTCTCCCCATGCTGTGCCCGGGCGGTGCGGTCCGCCCTCATGGACGCACCGCCCGGGCAAAGCTGCATCTGCCTGAGGCTCACTACAGAGCGCTCGGGCGGCTGCAGCATGGGGGGGGGGGGCGGGCGGCGGGGGCCGGTCATGGCACCCCCCATCCTGGTGGCACCCGGGGTGGACCGCCCCCCCCGCCCCCTCCTTAGTACGCCACTGGCTTGGAATAACCTTTTAAAATTGTATTAAAGGACCACTATAGTCACCCAGACCACTTCAGCTCAATGAAGTGGTCTGGGTACCAGGTCCCCCAGGTTTTAACCCTGCAGCTGTAAACATAGCATTTTCAGAGAAACTGCTATGTTTACATTGCAGGCTTAATCCAGCCTCTAGTGGCTGTCTTCCTGACAGCCACTAGAGGCGCTTCCGCGATTCTGAATGCGAAAATCGCAGTGAGCACGCACAATGTCCATAGAAAAGCATTGCTTTCCTATAGGCTGATTGAATGCATGCGCGCGGCTCTGGTCGTGCATGCGCATTTGGCTCCACTCGGGAGCGAGGAAATGACGTCCCTGGAACACACGGAAGTGTTCCGTGAAACGCTCATGTCACTACCGCGATTGTGATGGGTGAACAGCTGAACGAAATGGATCGTCTAAAGCAGCTGATCGGTATTATGACAGCACCAATCGTGGAGCGAATTAGAAACACACCGACTACACCACCAATGATGGAGAAGAGGAGGCTGAGGAGCCCTATTAATTGGGAACTTTTGGAGGGTGGGAATCAGGAGGAATTTTTAACTGCATTTTATATGATATTGTTTTAAATTGAAGAGACCCTGAGGAAGTTCTATGTTTAGAACGAAACGCGTAGGACAGCGGTTTTTATTTATTTCCCTTCAATAAATTGTTTATACTACCTTATTCCTGCTTCCTTCTGGTTCCTGCTTTCCAAAGAAGTGAGGTGGATTTCTACAAACCTCCCTATTGATTAGGGGTGTCACCCTCAAGGCGATTTGATTATCTCCATTCTGTGAGTGTTACCAGTAGCGTGTCTTTATACATGACTATAACTATATCACACTATGTGTTGTTTATTGTCTTTTTAGGTTAAACAGCTGTATTCCTTTATATTTGTATACTGTTTGATACAGTATCGATGTGGGAAGGCTACCGAGGGAAGCTGTTATAAAGTTATATCTATTATTCTTTTGCTACATATAATATTTTATTCTGTGTTTTAGCGTTCTTTTATGCCCACTCCTCTGCACAATTGGGGACCCTGGTACAGCTGGTACAACGACTATACCCATCTTTCACCTCCATCTCAGGATATTCACCTAGTCTAGGCCTGAAGGTGCCCAGCTGGTTATTCCTACCTAAGTGCACATTCCCAATGAGAGCCCAATCTGAGATGCTAAGTTTTCTACTACTGGTATGGTCTGACATCCTAAGTATTTACTTTATAGCTGCCCAGAACCTCATCTCAGGTTTGGTTAGGTCACTCCTCCCCTTTGAAAAAAGCATCCCTGCTACTCCTCTCCATTAACTCAACGGGGCTCGACACACCTGACAAAGACCTCCTGAAAGACTTAAAGGCTAACACACATTGTCTATATCTAAAATACACATTTCAGAGCAGACAAGGCCCCTAAAATTAAAAACCACAAGCAAGGTTTTTACAATAATAACCCTCAGGGTAAATCTAAAGGAACCACAATCCTTCTGCATAGATCGCCTCCATTCCAACAGACGGACACTCTGGCGGAACGGGAGGGTTGTTACAATGTCATTAAGGGATCTATTCTGGACCACAAGTATACCCTGGCTAACTACTAACTACTAATTACTAACATGAAAGGTTTCTGAAGGCCACTCTCATGGGCTTTTCTGAGGGCTGCTTGATTCCGGCTGATTTTTTATGTTGGTCTATTGATACCTCCACAGGCACATCTGCCGTCCACACCACAATTTAATGAGGATATGCAAACTCCTACATCTAAACAGGCTAACAGACTGCTGGAGGATGATGCACCCAGGGGAGAGAAACTACTCCTTTCACTCAGCACCCAACTCTAGCTACTGTCGCATTGGCTAGTTCTTCCTCTCCAATTTCTGTCTAACATTCCTACGGGAAGTGAATTTGGGCATGGCCACCTGGACAGAATACGCACACTTGACAATGGCATTGACATCCCCACTACATAGGCCCAGGGTTGCCAACTGGAGGGTGAACGATGCCCTCTTGTCAGACTTCCTGTTCACACAGGATGCTGCAAAGTGGTGGATACAATCATTTACTGACACCATGACGGAAGACACTTTCCCCTTATTGTTTGGAAGGCACACAAATGCATCCCACAGGAAGTCCTAGAGGTACCACTGATGGTGGAGATGATGGCTTGCACTGTAAAGGCTACACAGTTTGATAAATGCCGAGGTACAGATGTTCTCACCCTTTGCTAATATAAACAATTTGCAGAAATCATCTATGCTAAATTTACCACAGCAAATGAGAGACCCATCTTCTTGCTCAGTTAGGATCTAAAATTGTTTACTAAAATCCTTGCAATTAGATTACAGCAATTAGACCAACTCCATGCAACAGTCAGAGGTCAGAGGGCCTTCTCTTGCTCTCTACCTATGCTGAGAAGGCATTCAATAGGGTTAACTAGGCCATAGGACTGGGCAGGGGTCAAGTCCTGGGGAAAAAAGTGTGGGAACTCACCCAAGATTCCCGCCGCCCCCCACCCCCTTTAAAAAAAAAAAAAAATTACACTCCTATGCATATAGTGCAGTGCAGGGTGTGTATAATGAATGTAGTGTGTTTGTAGTGAATGCGGAGTGTGTATAATGAATGCAGTGTGTTTTTAGTGAGTGCAGAGTGTGTACAATGAATGCAGTGTATGTAGTGTGTATAGTGAATGTAGTGTGTAGTGAGTGCAGAATGTGCATAATAAATGCAGAGTGTGTATAGTAAATGCAGAGGGTGTATAGTGAATGTAGTGTTTTTGTAGTGAGTGAAGAGTGTGTATAATGAATGCAGTGTGTGCGTGTGCGCGCTGGATGACGTGTGTGTGAGTGCTGGATGATGTGTGTGTGTGTGCGAGTGCTGGATGATGTGTGTGTGTGTGCTGGATGATGTGTGTGTGCTGGATGATGTGTGTGTGGATGTGTGTGTGTGTGTGTGTGTGCTGGATCGTGTGTGTGTGTGTGTGTGTGCTGGATGATATGTGTGTGTGTGTGCTGGATGATGGGTGTGTGTGCTGGATGGTGTGTGTGTGTGCTGGATGATGTGTGTGTGTGTGGTGCTGGATGATGTGTGTGTGTGTGCTGGATGCTGGGTGTGTGTGTGCTGGATGATGTGTGTGTGGTGGATGATGTGTGTGTGCTGGATGATGTGTGTGTGCTGGATGATGTGTGTTTGCTGGATGATGTGTGTGTGCTGGATGATGGGTGTGTGTGTGCTGGATGATGTGTGTGTGTGTGTGCTGGATGATTGTGTGAGTGCTGGATGATGTGTGTTTGTGTGTGCTGGATGATGTGTGTGTGTGTTTGTGTGCTGGATGATGTGTGTGTGTGTGCGGGATGATGTGTGTGTGAGTGCTGGATGATGGGTGTGTGAGTGCTGGATGATGGGTGTGTGAGTGCTGGATGATGTGTGTGTGCTGGATGATGTGTGTGTGCTGGATGATGTGTGTGAGTGCTGGATGATGGGTGTGCGTGCTGGATGATGTGGGCTGGATGAGTGTGTGTGTGGGTGCTGGATGATGGGTGTTTGTGTGGAGTGCTGGATGGAGTGGGTGTGTGTGCTGGATGTGGGTGTTTGTGTGAGGTGCTGGATGATGTGTGTGTGCTGGATGATGTGTGTGTGAGTGCTGAATGATGTGTGTGGGTGCTGGATGATGTGTGTGTGTGTGCTGGATGATGGGTGTGTGTGTGCTGGATGATGGGTGTGTGTGCTGGATGAGTGGGTTGTTTGTGTGAGTGCTGGATGATGTGTGTGTGTGTGCTGGATGATGGGTGTGTGAGTGCTGGATGATGGGTGTGTGTGTGCTGGATCTTGGGTGTGTGTGTGCTGGATGGTGTGTGTGTGTGCTGGATGATGTGTGTGTGTGTGTGTGCTGGATGATGTGTGTGAGTGCTGGATGATGGGTGTGTGAGTGATGGATGATGGGTGTGTGTGTGTGCTGGATGATGGGTGTGTGAGTGATGGATGATGGGTGTGTGTGTGCTGGATGATGGGTGTGTGTGCTGGATGATGGGTGTGTGTGCTGGATGATGTGGATGTGTGTGTGTGTGCTGGATGATGGGTGTGTGAATGATGGATGATGGGTGTGTGAGTGCTGGATGATGGGTGTGTGAGTGTGGGATGATGTGTGTGTGTGCTGGATGATGGGGGTGTGTGTGCTGGATGATGGGGGTGTGTGTGTGCTGGATGATGGGTGTGTGTGTGCTGGATGATGGGTGTGTGAGTGCTGGATGATGGGTGTGTGTGTGCTGGATGATGGGTGTGTGAGTGCTGGATGATGTGGGTGTGTGTGTGCTGGATGATGTGGGTGTGTGTGTGCTGGATGATGTGGGTGTGTGTGTGCTGGATGATGGGTGTGTGTGTGCTGGATGATGGGTGTGTGAGTGCTGGATGATGGGTGTGTGTGTGCTGGATGATGTGTGTGTGTGCTGGATGATGTGTGTGTGTGCTGGATGATGGGTGTGTGCTGGATGATGGGTGTGTGAGTGCTGGATGATGGGTGTGTGTGTGCTGGATGATGGGTGTGTGAGTGCTGGATGATGGGTGTGTGTGTGCTGGATGATGGGTGTGTGAGTGCTGGATGATGGGGAGGGGAAGCATTTTTTTTTTAACTTTATGTGTCTATATTTTTTTATTTTATCCCCCCCTCCCTGCTTCTTACCTTGTCAGGGAGGGGGGAGATCGCCTGGTGGTCCGGGTGGAGGGAGCCAGTCGCTGCACAGAGGGGCCATCACACGCTGTGCTCCCTCTCCAGCTCTAACTCTCGCGAGACTCGCCTGTGCGGAGCGTTGCCATGGTAACAGCCGCGAGTCTCGCGAGAGTTATAGCTGGAGGGGGAACACAGCGTGTGCTGGCCCCTCAGTGCAGGTAGCAGGGCCGGTCCTGCAGGACAGGTAACGGGAACGGCGTTCCTGCTATGGAAAAAGTGTAGGAACGCCGTTCCCATGCGTTCCTGCAGGACTCGAGCCCTGGGACTGGGCCTGCATATGTTTGCCTGGATACATGCCTTATATATAGCTAACAGTGCAAGGGCTTGCATAAATGGCGCATTTACACCCCCATTCCGTATCAATAATGACACCAGGGAGGGATGCCCATTATTGTCACTGCTCTTTATCCTTGTCCTCAATCCATTCCTTCCAGTGGTCTTTCAAAACCCTGATAATAATGGGGTCTGAGTGGACCAGGTCTGAGTCTTGAACTTACAGGGCACTCTGTAATCTTTAAATCTATTTTTTTGGAGTCTACCATTTTAATCGTTACTGTGCCAAAAAGATCTCATTGATCCTCCAGAGTTTCCATTCCACTGTACATACGTTTTTGTTGAAAGTCTATGAAGTCTTTGGCTGTTATACAGTGCATAGTATCTCAAAGAAAAAGGAAAAAGAGAGACAATAATAGTGCAGTATGTCTTTAACACAGTGAAGTAGAGTGCTATAGCAAAAACTCACTCACAATTTATACAAAGAGCTCTTCGGTACAATCCCTGTCACTGGATATATTTTCAGCTACAGTGGTGGTAGACTTTATCTGTGTCTTAAATATGTGAAGACAAAAATTTGAATATCCAGTAGTGCAATATGTATATCAAATTAGTATTGCATATATGAAAAGGTAGGTATCTTACTCACATGAACTAGTGCATACACCTGTTTTGTAGATATTATATTACAACCTTATGTTAAACAAGTTAAATCATATTTAAAGGATATCATTGATCTTATAAATAAATTAAATAATATCAAGTGGAATAATAGCTATTGGTTAATTACATGTGATGTACAATCATTGTACACGATCATCCCACATGAGAAAGGCTGTATCGCTGTAAAAAGTATTTTAGAAAAAAAATTGATGTTTTCTGTAAGCAACACATATCTCCTCCCCTACATCTATGGTATACTAAAATGGATGAACTAAGGTTGCTAGAGGACACTGGTATATGGGCCCAATGGCTGACTACACCCTTCTCATCTAGCTTTTCCCAGCTACTCACTTACAAGTAAAGCTATAAAGCATTGACTCATTATGGCTGTGCTGGACCAGTGGTCATCCTTGTTCTTCCATCGCCCCAGGATACCAAGTTCTCTCACCTTTTTAGTTACATTAACCTCTCATGGAGGCTCTTATCATTTTAATAGTTAGTTGGTACTTTGTTATGTACCACTTGTATTGTCCACACTTTATTTTAAGATACACATCTGTCAACAGAACGGGCTACAAAGATGACAATCACCCTGATTTATAGTGATAACATTTATTATGAGGAAAATTAGAATGTTTTTTTGTTTGTTTTGTTTTTGTTTTATTAATTTGACATTTTTCTGCGTTCCTAGGAAATTTTTCTGAAACATATGCTGCATTGTGTGATTACAATGGCATGGCTGTTAGAGAAGATGTTCAGTGGGTAAGCATAAATCTAATTTTCATGTTAACAATAGTTGATGGTTTTAATTCATCCCTCTACCAATAACAGTATGATCTTAGAGTAGCTGGGAAAACAGAAGCGATGATTTGTGGCTCTATTTCAGCCTATAATTATTGAGAGAGGGACTGAATCAATGGCAGAGCATCAAATAAATGTACGGAACTATTTTATACATGCATACACACAGCCCTCGTTTTGTACAATCCATGAGTTCCACAGATTTGTTAAATCCATTTGTATTTGTGGCTTGGTTGGGACCTTGATTATTTCAAAGTTTTACTCTGTAAGATTTTGTTACATTTTGAGTATTAGCTGTTTTTTTTAATATGATATAATGCAAGTCCTCTCTAATTTATATTTATGTAGTTTAGACTCAACAACAGAAATTCTGTGCAGTGAATCTCCAATAACAGTAAAATAATTATTACAATACCTCATGGAGATTGTTCCAGAACTAAAAATACAACTAGTCTACTGAAAAAGAACTGTCATTTCATTGGTGTATTACACTTGCCAAAATAATCGAAAACATATGTATTTAGATATTAATCATGTGACAATATGCTGTCAGAATAAAAAATAAGCTAAGGAACACACTGTGTTTTCTCGAGTCGTGTCATTCACATACCTGTTCTGATGCAAACACATCCTAGTTGAGTTACTGGTAATTCCACCAATAACAGACATATATAAATGCACCATTTGTGCATGTATTATCATCTCAATGTAGAGTACAGAGGAATCACATTGTCTTTTGTAATTTAGGAAATTTACTTAATGAGGTTTGAATAAAAACTATTCAGGGCCATAGTTTGTAAATTATGAGATATGCTTTTATATTTTTATCATCTGACATCTTTTTTTAAGGATGTGGACAATATATATCACACACAGAATTGCAGAGAGTTCAGATTACTTGATTTCAGTCACCTGGATACTAGGTAAGTGACAATTTTAGATTTACAATAATAGGAAAATGAACAATAAAAAATACAGTATACAGTCCTACCTATAACTCTAAATAAAATGTATGGCTTGATTTATTTGTATTTTTTCTTATAGAGAAATAAAATAATAGGCAATACATTTCTCATTGCCTATTTAATTCCTTACAGCCATATTGTGTTGAATGTATGTTGTGCACTTAGTGGCTGTTATGGCTACCCTACCCAACTTACAATTATAGGTTAGGAATAAATAGACATAAAGGACGTATTACTGGACCTTAGAATGGCCAAATTTATTGCAAAAATGAGAGAAAGCGTAAACATAAAACAAGATCAGTGTACCACAAATACTGAAAAATGATATAACTAGCTTAGTCAGGATTACAAAAGTCAGAAGAGTAAATATAACAAGCCAAAATTGAATAACCAGTAAATCAAGAAACAATATAACGCACTATACGAGAAAACAAGAGAAAACCAAGTCAGGGCAATAATAATAATGTAATCCTATGGCGGACACTGATTGGTCCATGTCACCCCTGAGACCCCAAAAAGTGAGATATGGGATGATAAAAGGATGATGCAGCGGTCAAGTCCTGGGGAATAAAGTGTGGGAACTCACCCAAAATCCCCCCACCTCCCCCCAAAAAAGTGCAGTGCAGGGTGTGTATAATGAATGTAATGTGTTTGCAGCGAATGCACAGTATACGTAATGAATGTCGTGTGTTTGTAGTGAGTGCAGAGTGTGTATAATGAATTTAGTGTGTTTGTAGTGAGTGCAGAGTGTGTATACTGAATGTAGTGTGTTTGTAGTGAGTGCAGAGTGTGTATACTGAATGTAGTGTGTTTGTAGTGAGTGCAGAGTGTGTATACTGAATGTAGTGTGTTTGTAGTGAGTGCAGAGTGTGTATACTGAATGTAGTGTGTTTATAGTGAGTGCAGAGTGTGTATACTGAATGTAGTGTGTTTGTAGTGAGTGCAGAGTGTGTATACTGAATGTAGTGTGTTTATAGTGAGTGCAGAGTGTGTATAATGAATGTAGTGTGTTTGTAGTGAGTGCAGAGTGTGTATACTGAATGTAGTGTGTTTATAGTGAGTGCAGAGTGTGTATAATGAATGTAGTGTGTTTGTAGTGAGTGCAGTGTGTATAAAAAATGTACTGTGTTTGTAGTGAATGCAGAGTGTGTATAATGAATGTAGTGTGGTTGTAGTGAGTGCAGTGTGTATAATAAATGTACTGTGTTTATAGTGAGTGCAGAGTGTGTATAAATGAATGTAGTGTGTTTGTAGTGAGTGCATAGTGTGTATAATGAATTAGTGTGTTTGTAGTGAGTGCAGAGTGTGTATAATGAATGTAGTGTGTTTGAAGTGACTGCAGTGTGTATAATAAATGTACTGTGTTTGTAGTGAGTGCAGAGTGTGTATAATGAATGTAGTGTGTTTTTGCTGTATGATGTGTGTGTTATGGGGGAAGAATTTTTTTTTCCATTTATGTGTGTATATTTTTTTATTTTATTCCTCCCTTATTACCTTGTCAGGGAGGAGGGAGATCACATTCCCTGATGGTACTGTGGTATGGTGGAGTGAGCTAGCCGTTGCACACGGCGGCCCAGAACACTCTGTGTTCCCTCTCCAGCTCTGTCTAATTGTGCGGAGCGTTGCCATGGTAACCCGTGGCAACGCTCTGACGGCTGCAGGACTCGCGAATGTGAGACACAGAACAGCTGGAGAGGGAACACTGCAAGACTACTAGCGGAAACGGCATTCCTGCTTTGGAAAAAGTGCAGGAATGCCGTTCACATGCGTTCCTGCAAGACTCGAGTCCTGGGATGATGACATGGTGATGACGTGGCACTGCCAATATCGGAAATTATTCTAGGTGTCATATTATTATAAAGAAAGGGATGCTGGGAGCGTGTATTATCCTTCTCTGTATCATAAGGCTGAGTGCTGAATAGCATTTGCCTCCCAAATACAAGTGAAGGCTGAAGAAAGTCAGGAGGCGGTGTTTCCAGAATGACACCTGCAACGTACTCAGTTAGTCTAGAGCACTACATTGGTTGGATAAGTATTGTGACAGTGACAAATGATGTATACTACATATTCTCTTTTAAAAGTGCTTTTACAAAACCAGATTTTCCATGATTGGCAAGACTTATCTATTTTTTAATGTCTCAGTAAAGAGATCTTATAGAAATAGCCTTCTGTAGGCAGACTGCATGAAGAAAAAGTCTTTCAAACCGATCTTACAGCAAAGCTTGTTTACTTTAGAAGTTCTTATCTCCTGCTTTCTTAATCACTTCCTGATGTTAGGGCGTACTATGAAAGTATGGCTTTAACGCCATTAGGATGGGTGTCACGTATGGGATAGCACGCCCTAATGATTGGACCCTTCCTGCAGTGCAGATACTCATCTTCCTTGTTGGATTCGATCAGGGGACTGCCTAACAACAGAGGCAGTCCTCCTGCAGCAAAACACACCCACCTGAGTCATGTGATCGCGATGACACCATGATCACATAATCGGCCAGATTACAACATTGCCTGCCAAGGTTCTTAGGCAGACCCACCAACATATAATTATAAGTTATAAATATAAACTTACATGTATATAATTTCATTTTAAGTGTATTTTGACATTCATATACTTATATATATTTATGTATTATTTTTACATAATTAAGTAATTTTATTGATTATATATTGGGGGACCTGCCTGACAACCCAGGCAGAAAGTCCATAACATTTCATTTAAACCTGTAACTTTCCAAAACCCCATAAAACCTCCTGGACTTGGGGTTTGCTGTTGCACTTGTGAGACATTTCTGAACACATATTTGAGTGTTTTAGAGCAGTAAAACATATAATGACAATGATATCATTTGTGAAAGGGCAGTTTTTGAGTGAATGATGAAAAAAAACAAATATGAACACTTTTGCCAGGGTTTGTGACTGTTTACTATAAAAGACTAGACATACCCCATTTTGAATACCCTGACTTTTATACTTTTACAAATGATATGCCATAATGAGGGTAATTTTTATTACCAGCCTGCCATATGGTCTCAAAGGCAACATAGGCCGAGCATATCAATGTGTACACACTGGAAAGGTGTAAGCTCTATATTTGACCTTTTAACTTTCTAAAAGCCCATAAAACCTGTACAGGAAGGGGTACTGTTATACTCATGAGACATAGCTGAACACAACTTTTTTATTGCAGTAAATGCTAACAATATTGTGGCATTCACAGTTTGAAGGTCATGCAGAACCTGGAAAATAACTACATTTCTCACACTCCTTTTTAGCTTTCAATTATTTTTTAAATTGTATTTAATATATAAATATTGGATTTGAAATGAAAGCCCTATTTCTCCTGAACAAAATATTATATAATAAGTGTGGGTACACTTAATATGAAAAAGGTAAATGTATGGTTCAACAGACATTTAGCTCAAATTCCAGGTTTTGTTTTGGTTCAGAATGTGTACAATTGCCTTGGTATATAAGGAGTAAATTGATCTTTATACACATACATGAGGTTGCTACAGGCTTTAGCAGCTGATTAACAGAGCAGGAGATAAGAAATTCTAAATTAAACACATTGCACAATATAGGAAACTAAAAAAATTAGACTTCTTTTTCAGGAAGTGTATAGGGAGGCTCTGTGTGTAATAGTTATGGGAGGCTATAGCTTCAAATAGAAAGTGATTTAACTTCTAAAAGGCAGAGAATTAAGCAGTGAGACAGCAGAGTCATGATCCATACACCAAAACTGCTTCATACGCTAATGTTGTCTTGGGGCTTGGAGTGTCCTTTTAAATAAGCTTACATTGTTAACAGACATGGGGATGTTCCTTTAAGGCAAGTTATAACCATGAATCGCTATTCTTTTATTTTCTATTGTGCAAAAAAATTATAAAGTGCAAAAAATCTCTGATTTAGATGTAATATCTCATCTTCTGTTTGGCTGTACTGAAAAGGATATTGTCAAAAATTACTGATTAGTTTAATTGTTATGTTTGTTCAAAATCCATTCTGCCTGTCACTGTTATATATGTTTTTGTCTTTCAGTGATGTAGCACTAACAGTGGCTTCCTTATCGTTTAATCAATGGTTTACCAAGCTCTCCTGTAAGGACTTCAAATTGGTAAGGTGGTTGATACTAATAGATACTAGATAGTATACCATTAGTGATGTGCCGAACGGTTCGCGAACGGTTCGCCACGAACGGTTCGCCACGAACGGTTCGCCACGGACTCATCATTGAGTAAACTTTGACCCTGTACCTCACAGTCAGCAGACACATTCCAGCCAATCAGCAGCAGACCCTCCCTCCCCCACCCTCCCACCTCCTGGACAGCATCCATTTTACATTCATTGTGAAGCTGCATTCTTAGTGAGCTGTCCAGGAGGTGGGAGGGTCTGCTGCTGATTGGCTGGAATGTGTCTGCTGACTGTGAGGTACAGGGTCAAAATTTACTCAATGATGAGTCCGCAGCAAACCGTTCGCGGCGAACCGTTCGGGACATCGCTATATACCATACATCATAATAAAACACAGGAGTAAAGGTCAGATTTGCAGAGTTTCCTATTCCTCAGCTCCTCTCCTGGCCTATCATTAAATTGGATTTAATGAAAATTAGGTATCACTCACTATGCTATACAGAATTTGGAATTTAAAAAAATAGATATATAAATAAGAGACAAATACACATATTTGTAAAATACTTATTGTTAGAATAACTTCATCATTCCCATTACATAAAAGACCAATGGATAGACGGAAATACCTCTGATCTCTGACATATAACACTTTACCCCTCCACTATACTTACAGTATACTACCTTGAATTCCTTAAAAGACCACTATAGGCACCCAGACCACTTCAGCTCATTGAAGTGGTCTGGGTGCCAGGTGCATCTAGTGTTAACCCTGCAGCTGTAAACATATCAGTTTCAGAGAAACTGCTATGTTTACACTAGGGTTAATCCAGCCTCTAGTGGCTGTCTCACTGACAGCCGCTAGGTGCGCTTCCGCACGTCTCACTGTGAAAATCACAGTGAGAAGACGCTGTCATCCATAGGAAAGCATTGAGAAATGCTTTCCTATGGACTGATTGAATGCACGCGCGGCTCTTGCCATGCATGCGTATTAAGCGCTGACGTCAAAAGAGGGAGGAGAGTTTGTTTTCCTGGCACTATAGTGGTCCTTTAATGTTAAGCATTTCAGTCATTTTACATTTATTTAGGTTGTTCCTAAATAAATGTAAAATTTCCGAGTTTTGACTTATTCTGTATAAATTATAATTATTCCTGTCTTTTTACTTACGATGTAGTCATATGGATTACCACAGGGTTTACCTTCACCTCTTTAATTCACCCTGTGTTTCTCATTTCCTCTCATTCCTCCACCTATCCTCTTAATACCCCTCATGTTATCAGATCTCTCTTCCCTTGCCTTGTGCCCTTCCTAATGCATGTCTTCAATTGTTCTCTTTCTTCTAGCATTGTCCCCATATCACTTAAGCACGCTGTTGTTGTACACAGGGCCAGATTAAGAGCCTATTGGGCCTGCTGCTGACAATTATGATGGACCTTCAAAATCTTATCGACAGAAAATACTCATAGTTATACCTCCCAAGCGTCATGTATCTGGCGGAGGTGGTGCTGGAGGGACACTCACAGGATATAGCTATAAGAAAACACATTCCCTATGCTAATCTTTCGCTTTCATCTTTCAAGTAAATCCATACCACCTAACAGCAGGTCTGGTGATGCAGAATATCGGTGGGCAGAGAAAAAAGGGTGGGCCACTGACGCGAGCCACGTAACCAGAACTACCCAAAGGGGCGAACATGACCTAAAAGTGTCTGCCTGAAAAATTAGAAGGTCAGCCTAGTGTAGATGCATGACAGGCTGCCTGCCATTCATGCATGCTGGCCAACAAAAGCCATACTGTGCAGACAACAGCACCCTGAGTTTCGCTTGAATGCGTCTAATGATGCGCTCGCTCCACGCTTTCTAAGGACTGCTCCCTAGCACTCACTTATCCATTCCTCTCCTTACCTTCTTACTAGCAGGCAGAAACTTCTGTTGTACAGTCTGGGACAGAGGAAAGGTGTACATAGAAGAAACAGAACATGCCACAGTGTTAGAGAGACCGAAGCAGCAAGAATCCATAGTGCGCAAAGTCAGCTTTACCTTATTTCATTGTCAGCAGGTCCACACATGTTTTGTTCCCCTACATCCATCTTAAGTTTCCATACTTAAGCAAGAGCATGTGAAGGGTAGTACTCCCTATGTTAATCCGGCCCTGTTTGTACCCCTCTTTAAAAAAAAGCCATTTATTGACCCATGTCATGTATTTGTTTGAATGTCCTCCTGCTTTCTAAAACTGCTTCTTATCTTCCCTCCTAATGATAATAATCATCCTTTGCCTCTCTCTCTGCAAGTTGTTGATGGTGCATACTGTGGCAAACCTAGCCACTTGGACAATATAAAGAGACTGTCCCTTTTAGGGTTGCCTGTATGTCGGTGGGGATATGTGTTTAATTATGCTTAATGTATGCTGGCTGTACTGTGTATTTCCTGTATTCGCTATCTGTATTGGGTTTTCCTTTCGTTTCACGAACGGCACTTTTGCGGGCCGTTCGTGAACCGAAAACACTCTACATAGTAGCCCACACACTTAGAGGCGTGTGGCGCTTGTTAACCGATCGGTAATTAGAGGCTCTCCTAGGTGGCCGCCGTTCGACTACCGACCATGCGGCGGTCGGCCATCTTGGATCCTTTGTTCCCTCAGCGGTGTTAGGTCGTTGAGCGCATGGTACTAAAAACGGCTACTCGACGGCGCGAACACCGCTGAGCCTCCAGGCCGTTCAGGAGTTCCGGGCCATTCGGTATTTCATTCCCTGGAAGGCAATCGGTCATTTTAATATGTCTTTTAATAAATGTGTTTTTCGTGCGGCGTTCGGTTGTTTTAGCTGGGATCTGAGCGGTAATCTCATGAATGATGCACTCAGACCCCAGCTATCTACCGAACATCCATTCGTTTAAAAAGACCGCATATTCATAGAGTTATACATTTTTCTACGAATTGTAAGTTCTGCTGCACGGAGGGATAATCCACTTAACGGTATATTCTAGTGGGAGGATCCCTCTCGTGCAGCAGTGCCTGATGGGAGAAATGCCCTGTATTGTAAGTCCCCGATGTAGTCCCCTCTGGGAATGCCCCTGGGAAGGGGCTCAGGAAACCCCTTGCATGGGGACTTGTATAAATTGTGAAGCTGAATTAAAAGACCTCAGTTGACTCTCAGAACTGTGTTTCATCCGGTTACTGGGAGGTTTGGGATATTGCCTTGTTGTTTCCAGCGCTTGACTGTGGATTATTTCCTGAACCAGCGGAATTCGTGGATTTAATATTGGCGTTCCGCTACACATACGTCAGTCCATCGTTGCAAGCTCACCCTTGTTTTATCTTTGATTCTGGCCTTACCTTTACATATCATATCCAGTCTGTCACCAAATCCTGCCAATGCTACCTTAAGAAGATCCATCCCTTTTGAACGCAAGATGCTATGATCGAGCTGGTTTATGCTCTTGTAATTTCTCGCATTGACTAGAGTAATTCTCTCCTAAATGGTCTCTCCGGAAATTATACTGCCTCTCTACAGCCCATAATGAATGCTTCTGCCAGGCTTATTATTCTCTCCTGTGGCTCCTCCTATATGTCCCCCCTCTGACAATCATTATATTGGCTTCCTGTTCCATATAGGATTCAAAATATTAACTCTTACCTACAAATTTCTGAAGAACTTTACCCACCCAATACACCTATTCGCTTATTCATAGGTACACGTCTTCTCAGCTGCTCTGCTTCTTCTGTCTGTTACTCATACCTGTAATGCTAACTTATGCTTACATGACTTCTCACAGGCTGCCCCCTTTTTATGGAATAGCCTTCATCACCCATTAGGTTTTCTTTTAGTCTCCAACCCTTTAAGAAGTCCCTAAAAAAAACACAATTTTAAAATAGATAATGGATTCCCAAGGTAACTGTCATTCCTCAAACCTATATCTTTCTTTCTAAACTTAAGTAGTTGGTCCATTCTCCACCACACACTCACCAAGTTTGCTACTTTTTATAACTCGCATCCTCTAGATTGTAAGCATGTTTGAGCTGGGTGCTCATCAGCTTATTGTTCATGTCAAAATGCATAATAATTTGTCTCATTTGTTGTTAAATTCCTCCTTAATAATATTGTAAAATTGTATATATATATATGTATTAAAGCCGTTTGGCCTGTAATTGTGGGAGGGGCTTAAGTTAACTCACTCCCCTATATAAGGTACACCCCTTACCTGACTCCTTACCGATCCAGGTCAGCTTCTGAATGCACTTCCGGTTCATCCAGTCGCCATTTTGGAATACTTCTGTTTTCTCACGCTGGTCTTCCACGCTGAATTGTGTCCCGGAATCCTTCTGCAGGCTTTTCTGTCCGACCAGCTTCTTGCTTCTTCCATCGCCGCAGATCACGTCCTAGTGACTTGCAATCCGTAAGTTGACCTACCCGTTACGCCAGGCAACAGTCCCACGGCATCATTCACGGGTCAGGTCCTCACTTTACAGTTATGTTCGGTTATTTCAAATACTGCACTGCATACTGTCTATAATGGTTCGCTTATTTGGCTGTTCGTATACACGGCCCGTTCGGTTAAATCTGGACATGTATTTGGCCCGGCTCGTCATACTCACTGTCGGGCAGAATCTCCATTCATGCGGTTCCAACCACACAAACTTCATACCTTTTATATTGCTAACCGCTGCATACTGCCGAATGGACCATGCGTTCTAGAGATACTATTAGTCTACACGTGCACTTTACACGTGGGTCCGCACAGATACAGGCGGCACAAGTTACACTGAAAGGTAGATCACCTGTTCGTGCGTTTCAAACGCACGGGCAGGGAAGAAACCTTCAGGCAATCCTATACTGACAGCCCCTTATATATATATATTATTATCACCTAACAGCCAGTTATTACATAATTACCCCAGGTCCATACTATACATACCATGAACTCCTACCATATTAATCCCCTCACATACAGGCCTTACCATACCGGCAGGTACAGACACGTATGTGGGTATGGTCAGATATATATATTATATTAGTATGTATGGACACAATGTTTCATGTACGGGCATCCCATACAATTTTGGTTATTTATGTTAAGTATAAATGGTAATTCACACATGTTCATTCATAAATATGACAATGACAACAGTGGTTCTACTAACACTGCCACCTACAGGTCGGCAATTTTCATTACTATTCTGAGATGTTACACATCATCTCTACTGACCTCTACAGGTCAACAAAACAAACAACATTAAAATAAACTTGGATTGTACAACACATTTTTCTGTATTTTCATACAGTCTCTATCTATTTAGTTTACAGGTACTACTGAAACCTATACGGATTATCAGGTTTCACAAAAACCATACTACCAGGTATGTACACCTGCTTACAGTATACCCATTTCAGATCTCCCAGAATAGACATAAGTACTGGCAATCAGGGTCATAGGGGCCAATAGATATTTTCCCCCTCTGCACCATGCTTCGGATTAGTGGTCCCGTGAGGCCAACACCCCGCCTCACGCTCAGAGGCATACACCCCTTGGGCCACTCGTGAGCTAGCCGCCTCGCATGTATCATAGAGAGGGCCTCATCTGTCACTCCCCTTCCTTTTTTCTGGTCACAGTCACCGAGAGGTTAACATCCTGCCACACGTTCAGTGGACACAAAATATTCCCTCGCGCCAATGTATAGATAGAGCCTCTCAAAGCCACTTGGCAACTAACAGGGCCTCACCTGTCACCAAAACATTAAGCATAATTGTTTTGCCACGGCTTAGCTAGGGTTGAGACACCTTCACGTAGGGGAGATGTTGCCAGTCCAGCATCTATCAGATCCTGAATAATCCCACGCAACTCCACCAAGCTAAGGAGGCGACAAATCCCCTACCCTGCCACAGCAAGAAAAACAGAGCTATTCAAACTCCTACGCACAGCAACCGACAACACGAAAGCAAGGGAAGGCTCCAGCAACACCAACTCAGGTGACATCCAGACTGTGCTGGCCAAGGTCAACGACAGACTGGCTAACTTCAAGGCGGTCACCACAACTCGAATCCTCTAGATTGTAAGCATGTTTGAGCTGGGTGCTCATCAGCTTATTGTTCATGTCAAAATGCATAATAATTTGTCTCATTTGTTGTTAAATTCCTCCTTAATAATATTGTAAAATTGTATATATATATATGTATTAAGGCCGTTTGGCCTGTAATTGTGGGAGGGGCTTAAGTTAACTCACTCCCCTATATAAGGTACTTACCTGACCCTTACCTGACTCCTTACCGATCAAGGTCAGCTTCTGAATGCACTTCCGGTTCATCCAGTCGCCATTTTGGAATACTTCTGTTTTCTCACGCTGGTCTTCCACGCTGAATTGTGTCCCGGAATCCTACTGCAGGCTTTTCTGTCCGACCAGCTTCCTGCTTCTTCCATCGCCGCAGATCACGTCCTAGTGACTTGCAAACCGTAAGTTGACCTACCCGTTACGCCAGGCAACAGTCCCACGGCTGAGACTGGCCTTCCCAACACTGTACAACCAGCACCTACCGGACCACAGGCCACTTGTACGGTTAACTCAGCAGATACTCAGGACGTTGATCCTGCGCACACAATCCCAGCCCACATCAAAAGAGACATCCTGGAGGGCAAAGATGTCAACTTAGCATCCCTACTAATTGCCTCCCAGGATGTTGTAGAAAATAAGACTTTCATGTATGATGATGTATCTGTGGTGGTCAGATCTAAGGACGCCAGGTTAAACCGAAAACTGACCATCCTGGAATTTGTGTTAGCTTTTGGTATATTTAGAGATGTCATCTGCGAGGTGTACCCAAATAGAAGGGAAGAATTCGATCGGTACATGCACAAGCTGGTGGACCTGGGAAACGAATATGGAGGTTCGGCCTTTTACGACTACCATAGGTAATTTTCCACCAAAGGATCTGGCGCTCTCTCCCAGTATGCTGTCCATATCAACTGGAGCAAGCTAGATACGGAAATATTTCTCAGTCACTTCGCAGGTCTAAAAACACTGGCTTGTGCATCCTGTTCAACTACTACACACACAACTAACTTTTGTTCCAGCACAGCAGACGACCACAACCAGGCACCTAGCACTAGCTACGCTGGGAGAACAGAGAAAACCTCCAGAGACAAACTGGGCCGGCCCATCATTTTCTTTGGCAAATCCCAGATTTGCAATAATTTCAATGCGGGCACATGTAGCTTCAGTGCATGCAGACTATTGCATATTTATTCCAAATGTTTCAGGGCACATTCAAAAAATATGTGTCCAAATAAAATGTACCCTAAACCGTATTTAAGGTCTGTGAACATTAATGTATTTTCAGCACTACTGACCAATCACCCCTCCAGACATTTGGTACAATTTCTCATTGCTGACCTATCAGAGGGGTTCCATACAGGTATCATTCATCTTCCCACAGGCCATCTAGAATTACCTAATTTACAATAAGCACAACAGAACCCTACTGCCGTAGATACGCTCATAGCCAAAGAATTGGCCGAGGGGTTCTTGTTCGGGCCTTTTACAATCCCACCATTTACGGCATGGCGCACGAATCCCATTGGGATCGTCACATGGAAATCTTCCCTTAAAAAGAGACTCATCATAAATCTTTCAGCCCCTCATACCTCTTCTACCCCAAGTCTCAACTCCCTTATTCCCTCTGAATAATTTTCCCTGTCATATGCTACTATAGATCATGCCATTACAGTCATTTTGCAAGCAGGGGTCGGAGCCTGCAAAGTAAGACAGACATTACAAATGCCTTCAAATTACTCCCAATCCACCCTACCCTCTGGCATTTACATGGCATCAAATGGGCAGACAACTATTATTTTTTTCTCCCGCTTAACTTTTGGGTCAAAAAGTAGCCCAAAAATCTTCGACACATTTGCAGAATCACTTTGCTGGTTGTTACTAAACATTTCTAGATGCCCCATAGTCATTCATTATCTTGATGACTTTCTGCTGATCGAAGAAAACTCCTTTCCACCCAGGAGTCTCAAAGAAGCCATTAAGCTGTTTGACCACTTAGGTGTCCCAGTATCGCCTACAAAAACAGAAGGTCCCGACACCATAATTACATTTTTGGGCATACGACTTGACTCGGCATCCATGCACGCAAGCTTACCACAAGAGAAAATTACAAACATTCTCAACAGCATAAATCATTACATCTTGCTGGGGACTTGCAACCGCAAGGAACTTCAATCCCTCATAGGTTCATTAAACTTTGCCATGCGCATTATCCCACAAGGGCGGGATTTCATATCCAGACTTCTTTGTCTTTTACCACAATTCCGACATGACAACTATAGACTGTCCATGGATATGCAGGCCACAGCAGACCTACACATGTGGAAGGAATTCCTGACAACCTGGAATGGTAAAAGCGTATTTCTTCCAGCACTTTCTGACAGGTCACCAACCATATGGTCGCAGACGCGGCCACGGGTCTTGCTGCAATCTTTGAGAACGAATGGATTTGGGGTGAGTGGCCTGGAGAAGTCCATGACTTAGAAGGCTTTTTACAACTTCAGCTCTTTTTGAGATCTACCCCATCGTAGCGGTGGCTGTAGCATGGGGACATTTATGGACAGGCTTGTCAGTTCATTGTCACTCAGACAACCAGGCCACATGCCACATCACTAACGGAGGCCGTTCATCATCCCTAACAATCATGAGGTTTCTTAGGAAACTCACGTGGTTGGCAGCATGTCACAATTTTTAGTTGGTTGCTTTTATGTTCCAGGCATCAGTAATATAGCAGCTGACAGTCTGTCTCGTTTTAACTTTCAGGCTTTTCGGCAAGCACTCCCGTCAGCTGCTCAAGCAGCCACAGCCGCCCCTCCGTTCCAACAGCTAACCATGGACTAGAATTAATCATGCAACATAGCAGGGATCTGTCCAAACTAGCTCTTTCATCCAACACTCGCAAAACATACAACAGAGCCTTCTCACTGTTCACAAGATTTCTGTCAAACCACGACATATCCCAACCTTTTCTCATGACATTTATCATAGCCTTCGCCTCTTAAATTACACCTTTTTTTTTTTGCCATCTCAAATTACACTTATCCTACAACACCATCAAATTATATCTCACAGGCATTCAACATCACATGCTAACCATACGGCCTAACACACATAGCTTCATGTCTTCTTATCAGGTAAAGAACATACTCAGAGGCATTCAGAAATCAGTCCCTCCACGTTCCCCACAACGATTACCTATAGACAATACACTGTTTCAGTCAATCCGATCTATTAGACACCAAACCTTTCCACTCTACCACCAACACAGTCATCAAAACTGCCATGTACATAGCCTTCTACGGTTTCCTCAGGTCATGAGAATTCACTACTATCACCACCACTCAGACAGACAGGTGCCTCCTGCGCACACACCTACGCAAACATATGGACCACTACATACTGGCACTACCACAGACAAAAACAAGCCAACACGCACCTCCAGTTGAAATCACTTATTATTGTACCCACAACAAATGGTGTCCAGTGGCAGCTCTGGATTCATACCTGTTACACACCACATCACTACCATCACCTCATTTATTCGTACTACAAGGCTCTGTACTCACTACCACTGATTTCATTAAATACACCCGATCCCTGCTAACCATGCTAGGTTTTAACCCGGCTCACTACTCAGGTCACTCCTTCCGCATAGGAACTTACTAGAAACTTACTCCATATACGGCTATTTGCCCCTTACACAAGTATTAAGGCCGTTTGGCCTGTAATTGTGGGAGGGGCTTAAGTTAACACTTTTTTCTTCTTTTCCTTTCCTTTCCTTTTCTTACTCCATGGTGGGCCCTCTTTATTTACAGGCCTACTGTATCGTTGGTCTCGGCACACCACAACCGACTTGCTCTTTTATACTATCCTAAGTTCTTACTTGAAACTTACTCCGTATACGGCTATTTGCCCCTTACACAAGTATTAAGGCCGTTTGGCCTGTAATTGTGGGAGGGGCTTAAGTTAACTCACTCCCCTATATAAGGTACACCCCTAACCTGACTCCTTACCGATCAAGGTCAACTTCTGAATGACCCTCCCACCCACTCCTCAATCTTAACACTTTTTTCTTCTTTTCCTTTCCTTTCCTTTTCTTACTCCTTGGTGGGCCCTCTTTATTTACAGGCCTACCGTATCGTCGGTCTCGGCACACCACAACCGACTTGCTCTTTTATACTATCCTAAGTTCTTACTTGAAACTTACTCCATATACGGCTATTTGCCACTTACACAAATATATATATATATATCATATTTCCATATTGTGTTTGCTTTGCATTATTGCTTTTGTATACGAACATTTTGTTCAAAGTGGACTGAAATAATTTGTCCTTTGAAAACATATCTTAAAGGATCATTAATGAAACCCAGACAACTTCATCTGAATAAGGTGGTCTGGAAGCAATGTTTCTTTAGTTGTAATTCTGCATTGTAAAGCATTGCAATTTAGTAGATACGGCAATGCTTACATTGAAGAGTTAAATACACCTCGAGTGGATGTCTACCTGACAGCCTTTAGAGGCACTTCCACTGTGAGCAGTGTACCAAATCAAACTTGGTTTTCACAACTAATCACCATTTCATTGCAGAAGCACAGCACTGGCTGTGCACGCACTCTTTGTCCCCAGTGCTCTTCATAAAGGAGCATTGGATTGGACAAAAGAGAAGCGTCAGCATGACATCATGCAAAGTGGATTGAGTAGCTGCAAGGACTTGATCTTGGCGCTGGAAAAAAAAAAATAGTAATACTTCAAGATTTTATTTTGATTTGGTGGGGGCCTATATCCAAATAAAGAGTAAAACTGCTGTGTAACAATAGCGTTAGGAATATAGGTCTGTACTTCTAATGCTATCGTGTTCCTTTAGCTTTGTTTGTGTGCCCTACATGTTCTCTAAAGAGTGAAAGTATGAGTATAGAGAAAGATTTAGATTGCCTGGTCTTTTTATGTATATAAAAAAAGCTTTAATCATCAAATGGATATTATAGGTCATGTTGCCTGTTTTTTTTATTTTGTGTTTATTTGCACATAATTGTAAAGAAATATAGCCTAAACATTGACATTGAAGCTGTAGTTACATAAGATCCTGAATGTTTATTTTTTGTTTGGTTTATATACAGAGACTGGAAATATCTGAACAGATTTTATACATGCTAACTAAATCTATAAAATTAGAAGAACTGTGTTTGGAGAATTGTGGACTGAAATGGTAAGAGACTGACTATGTATATTTTCAATAAAATTTTTATTGATGCTTAAATTGACAATAAGAAAAAAAGCAGATCAAACATTCGAGATACAATTAACAGTGTTATAAAAGTGATAAGCAGATACTTGATTAGCTTAGACTACACTATGTATTTATTTGTTTATCCATTTTAGAAATACAGAGGGGGTGGTAAAGCTTTAGACATTATCCCTTACCTTGCAATATTTCACACAGGGTCTAAAATATATTAGTATCAAGGCAAAATGACTTGTTTCAAACAAATGTTAACAAATAATTTTGCACTGAATTCACAAGACAATCGCACAAAATACACTTCTACTGAAATAGCTACCTTTTAGTGGAAAACTCCACACTCAACTAGCAAAAGGCAAAAATAAAACAAGAGCAGCAGAGAAGTACATAAAGATTGTTTTGAAAAATAAAAAAATTAAATAGAAAAAAAACCTTAAGTAGACAAAGTAGAAATCTAATATAAAAAAATATATCCACTGCACAATGTATGAACAAGCTAATAAAACATTTATTAATAAAATAAAAACTTAAAAATTAAAATATGTACATAGAATTGAGATAGATGCATGCGGTCACCGTGGTGCAACAAAAAGTACTTGCATTCATACTGTTCCATAATAAACCCACAAAATTGGTAAATGATACAATGGTAAGTAGATCAACCTGACCTTTGGACATAATGAGTTCAAGAATAAGAGGTGTCAGTTGACTGAGAAACTATACCCAGTTGATAAAAAAAACATAAGAGGAATCTGAGTAGAGAATGCTGAATTTTGAAGGCAACAAGAGAGAAGTACACTCACCTAGTGGAATTAATTTCAGTGATAAGCACAGCTGTCTCTGTTAAGCTGACATTCAGTAGATGAGGATATAAAGTGCTGATGCAGTTGCTAGGTTCTTGGTTGGTGAGTGCCTTCTATGGTCAGCCAGTGGGCCATTCACATAAGTATCTTGAAGAATGGATGTTTTGGAAGAAATGGGTAGGGGTTGCTACAAGGGCACAGCATCAGTGGAGGACTGCAGAAGAAAAATGCAAACTTATATCGTTCAAACTACTTTTTCAGGGCAAAGATTTCACCAATGTTACAAATGTTGTTGTTGTTTTATTATGCAACAATTTGGATGTATGCACTTTGTATGCCTTTTTAAGTCTCCTGCATGTAATGCAGAGTTTACATATTACATTAATATTATTGTGCATAAACAAAAATAGGTGTTAAAAAATGCAGAAATAAACATATAAATAGATACTGCTTTATCAAATGCACATCACAAAAAATTCAAGTACTCTAAATGTAATTGGTAAATAATTAAAAGAGGATAATCTGTAAAATAATGTATATAGCGAGGGCAAAAGATTCCACCAAAAGTAATAAATGGCTTTAATAAAAATCAATTAAAAGTGAAAAATCTCTAGTTTTATCCAGCTAGCGTAGGACAATTCTATGTACATTCAACATGTGTAGAACTTTTTTCTCTTCTGAGTATCTTGACAAAAGGGAGGTAAGGTTGTCTCTTGATTGATGTTGTGATGGTAGTCACCATCACTGGGAGCAGAAGGACACTTTACATAGGTTCCTGAATTGTTCTTATGTTTTAGTCACTCTGTGTCCATTATAGGTGCAGGGTGTGTATAATTTACTTGATTGTGGTTAAATGTATTGTGTGCTTGTCTGTCCTGCTGATGCTTGCTACCAACAAGGTAGATGTGGCTGTGGATCCTTTACAGCACCCTTTGTTGGTAGCAACTAACTGAATAACAAGGTTTGTTAATTTGCATATTAATGAGAAATTGATAGCCAAAGAATGCAAAACCAACCCCAAACATGTTTTCAAGTACATCAATTCTAAAAAAACAAAAAATGGAAGTGTAGGTACACTGAAAACAGAGATGGGTCTGTTAGTCAATGAAGACCAGGAAAAGGCAGAAATTTTAAATAACTATTTTTCTTCAGTATATATTAATGAGGGTCATATGGCAAGAGATAAGCAAATGATTGCTGCAACAAACTTGCAGAAAATTTGTGATTGGATAACTTGAGACAAGGTGCTACAGCTATTATAGAAAATGAATGTAAATAAAGCTCCGGGACCTGACGGTATTCACCCATGAGTACTTAAGGAGCTATGTGGGGAAATAAGTGAACCTCTGTATTTAATTTTTCAAGATTCTTTTGTTTCAGGTATTGTACCGGAGGATTGGAGGAAGGCAGATGTTGTTCCTATATTTAAAAAGGGTTCAAAATCCTTGCCTGGAAATTATAGACCTGTGAGCTTAACTTCTGTGACTGGGAAATTATTTGAACAGCTATTAAGGGATAATATTCAGGAATTCATTGGGAAGAACTGTGTTATTAGCAATAATCAGCATGGTTTTATGAAACATAGGTCATATCAAACTAACTAACCTAATTGCATTCTACGAAGCAGTAAGTAGAAGTATAGATCAGCGTGTTGCAGTGGATGTGATCTACTTGGATTTTGCCAAGGCATTTGATATGGTTCCTCACAATAGGCTAGTCTTCAAACTAAAAGAAATTGGTCTAGATGAATATTCTTGTTCTTGGGTAGAACATTGGCTTAAGGATAGAGTACGAGTTGTCATTAATGGTAAATTTTCAAGCTGGACAAAAGTGGTAAGTGGTGTCCCTCAGGGTTCTGTTTTGGGACCGCTTCTATTTAACATATTTATAAATGATCTTGAAATGGGCATTGAAAGCCATGTATCAGTGTTTGCAGATGACACAAAACTTTGTAAAGTAATAAAATGTGAGCAGGATATTGCCTTGCTGCAGAGGGATTTGGATAGATTGGGGGACTGGGCACTAAAATGGCAGATGAAATTTAACGTAGAGAAATGCAAAGTTATGCACTTCGGGGTTAAGAATGCACAAGCAATTTACACCCTAAATGGTAGTGAACTAGGGATAACCACACACGAGAAGGATTTGGGAATTGTTATAGACAACAAATTAGGCAGCAATATGCAATGTCAATCTGCCGTTGCTAAGGCCAGTAAGGTTTTGTCATGTATAAATAGGGGCATAAATTCTCGAGATGAAAATATAATTTTGCCTCTTCATAAATCGCTGGTAAGACCACACCTTAAATATGCTGTGCAATTTTGGGCACCTGTTTTAAAGAAAGATATCATGGCACTATAAAAAGTGCAGAGACGAGCTACAAAATTGATAAAAGGAATGGAGCATTTTAGTTATGAAGAAAGGTTAAAAAATGTAAATCTCTTTAGTTTGGAAAAACGGTGTCTGAGAGGGGATATGATAACATTATACAAATATATTCGAGGCCAGTACAAACCATTATCTGGAAATCTATACATAAACAGGGCTATACATAGGACACGAGGTCACACATTTAGGCTTGAAGAAAGGAGATTTCAATTAAGGCAAAGAAAAGGTTTTTTTACAGTAAGAGCAATAAGGATATGGAATTCTTTGCCTGAAGAGGTGGTTCTGTCAGAGTCTATACAGATGTTTAAACTGCAATTGGATAAATACTTGCAAAAGCATAACATACAGGGATATAATTTCTAATTAGTGGGGTAATAGCTCCTTGATCCAAGGAGACATCTGACTGCTATTTTGGGGTCAAGAAGGAATTTTTTCCTAGTTTGTTGCAAAATTGGAAGTGCTTCAGACTGGGTTTTTTGCCTTCTTTTGGATCAACAGCAAAAACATATGTGAGGAAGGCGGAACTTGATGGACGCAAGTCTCTTTTCAGCTATGTAACTATGTAACTATGTAACTATATTCAGGTAGATTTGCATATTGCTGATTCTGCAGGCAGGGGAGATATATTATGTTAAATATTGTCCTCCCCACCCCTTTGTACATATGTAATTATGTTATTATAAGTTCCTGTATGTTGTCTGATATGTGTTGGTTGTTTGTAACGTTGTCACATTAATCTAAATGTAGTGAGCATATGGGCTAATCCTGAGTAAAAATAAAGCCGAGTGTGTTAGTTCATTTTGGAACTGTGTGTTCTGTGTGAATTTTTAGGGATATACCAGAAGGTTAATAATTTATACAAGGATTTGTGAATCTTGCTAAATATTGCACAATGCTGTGTTAGATCACAGATTTTTTTCCTTTTCGAGGGGGTATCTTATCTCCCAGGGAGATTTTCAATTTTACCATGAAGCTGGATGGTGGTTGCCTTCTCTGTGTGAGGATCATGGTGTATAGGAAAGACATCCTGTGTTCAAGGGGAAGCTCCTCTGTACATACATCTAGGGCGGTGAGCTCCTTATAAGGAGAGGTCTCTGAGGGATGGAGTAGAAAAATTCCACTAACTGTTTATAGTGGAATTGTTGCATAAAGTTCAGGGCATTCATTCTTCTCAATGCCTCTAGGAATTTAACCTTGCCTGCGTTTAGCAGATGACTCATTTGGAGAAAGCTGCTCCTAACAGTTTCCAAAAAGCAGTTGTCTCCAAACCTGCTAAGAAGGCCAGGTTGTGAGTCAGGGGGAAGAGGGGAGAGGGGAAAGAGGCAAGAACCAGCTTAGGCATCTGTGTGTGCCAAATGGAGAGGGTGAGGAGCCATTAAAACCACAAAACAAAAACAACAAAAAAATGTTTTCAATTGTTAAATGTGTTTTTTTTTTTCTTTCTTTTTAGTGATTTTGCTATCAAGCTTGCTGAAGCTTTGGATAATAACCCTGGTTCTGTTCTTCATACAATTAATCTTTCTGGCAATCAGATTGAAGACAGAGGTACTTGCATTTATATATATATCTATACTTATATAACACTTTTTATTTAGCATTATTGCTAATATTTCCTACAATGGTAGTCAACTAACATTACTGCATCTCAAATAGAAAATGATTCCATATATACCGTAACTATCTTCAATTATCAAAAGTTACATAAACTATATATGATAGAATTCCAGATATACATCACCCCATGAATCAGAATAACCCAGATGTGTTTAGTAGTGATTAGGGTAAAGGGATGGGTTAATTTTATATATAGATTAATGTCAGAGTGGCCAGAGTAAAGAGGGGAAGGTAATGTTAGAGAAGGATTAATGCCAGAGTTAGATTACACAGGGCAGGCCCGGACTGGCCAACGAGCAACGGGCCATGGGCCGAGGCCAGTAGGATCTCCTAGATCTCCCCTGCCGGCCCACGCAGGGCAGCACCGGCCCTAAAAGGGACCACTGACCCTTCATGGACCAAAGGAGAGATTCGCAGGCCGTAGTGGAACAAATGAGTCGGATGCACTCTGTGCATTCCAGGCAGCCTCCTTGTCTCCATCTCATGAGATCAGATATTATTAGAGCATTGCCATGGTAACCCGCGGCAATGCTCTGAAATACTGGAGCTTGCGAGAGAGATGCATGGACTGTAACCTGCGGAGGTACAAACCAAATGCCTAGCTCACTGGACCACCAGGGACCATCAGCCTGCTCCTCTGTACCCCGGCAAAGTAATAAGAAGGAAGGGGAAGTGCCCAGGCTGAATTTTCATCATTTTATTGTATAAATTGGCTCTCAGCAGCACCCTATTTATGCATATTCTGGTGAGTGCAGCCAGCCCCCTGTTTTCTCATATATATATTTGGGAGTCTAGCAAACTCATTGGCTTTGCACCCCTCCCTGTCACAGGTGCCTCACCCCAGGGCCCTATTTAGCCTTGTACTGATGACCAGTCTAGATGGAATTTTTCCCCAGATGCTAGGCTGGTAGTGTAGGACCTGCCAAAGATGGGGTACATTGACGTTGTGGCATGCTTATGCAATGTGTGATCATATAATGTAACTAAATACCCATTGTTTTTTTGCCAGGATTATGTGTTTTTAAAAAACCTAAAAAAAAAAACTAACTAAATCTGTCAGCACTGAAGTTGCTGTTTAGGGGATAATGGAGTGTGCTGGATTTTCTTTTTTTATTGTATAAATACATACATAATGACATACATACACACACATCTCATTTTTCAGCCACCCTCCTGTTTCTAGCCTTTTCATTGCAGGAGGGTGGTGGGGCTGATGGGAGTCGGCTATTGTGTTTTACACCCCACCTCCTACAGACTGTAAGCTCTTTTGAGGAGGGTCCTCTTCAACCTATTGTTCCTGTAAGTTCTCTTGTAATTGTCCTATTTATAGCTAAATCCTCCCCTCTTATAATATTGTAAAGCGCTACGGAATCTGTTGGCGCTATATAAATGGCAATAATAATAATAATAATAATAACTATTCCCTGCATGTTTTTATTATAAATTCCAGGTTGCCAGATACTTGCCTTTTTATTTTTGAGATTTTTACCTACTAACATGATTTTAAGTTGCTCAGTGATTCTCATTTGATCAGGACTAATAATCCAGTCCCTCTATTCCAGTTAATGTATTTTAAGGTTTCTGTCCGTCCTGAAATTGAAAGACCAGGCACCCTGATTACCATCAATAGGTGATTTTATTGGAAGAGATATTTTCGCTCTTACAAACTATTTTGAGAAAGAGTTGCTGTGTCTCTTACAGCTCATAAATTTTACTGTTCATGGTAACTGCTGTGCCTTGTCTTTCCTTACATATTTTTTATTGTGGAGGCGTATACCTCCCTTTTTCTGATTCTAGGTCATTGTCATTTCATCACGGTCACATAGAAGCTTGGTAGCTGTTAGGTTTTCCAAATACACATTATTAAATTAAAGTCAGCATGTGCTACATTTTCAAAAAACATATCTGTAACTAACATCTAATGTAATGACATTTTTTTTTTTATTTTTTAGGCATAACAGCATTTAGTCGTCATTTTGAGAAACATCGTAAAGTTTTAAAGTGCCTTAACCTCTCTAAAACATCAATAACCTATAAAGGTAAAAATTCTGATGATGTGCCAATTTGTCCAGATCCCTTACAATTCAAGTTTCGCATTTTCTTAAAAGAACTCAAAAATATTTACCCGTGTGAATACTCTTACCTGAAGTTAACCCTGATGTTTTCAATTAAAAAACTGTTAGCTATAAAATGTTTTTCTCATCTTTTCATCCATTTAGAAACATACCACTCTATCTCCATTCTCTCCCTTTCTCCGTAAGAATGGCTGTTCTATAGCTTTACTTTATTGTGCCTGCCATTTCTATCCATATATCTACTTTTGTCTATGAATTACTGTTTATTATTATTGCTTCTATATGTTTAAATATTTCTCTTAAATTGCACATTTTATAATATTTGCTGCTTATTGATGAAAATTTGATTTGTAAAAGTCTCAAAGGGGTTAAGAGAACAAATAAATAATAGTGCAATAAGTGATAAACAAATTTGTGATTAATATATATACAGAAAACACTCACACTTTGGAGAGCTACTTAGAGCTCTGCTGTGTTGTGCATGGATGGTATGACCACCTTTCAGGATATTTTGTAATCCTATGTGGGATTCAGTAGTACCGTTCAATAATAACCCAACAAGCGGAAATAGAAAATCAGAGAATCCAATATTGTAGAGTGTACATATAAATATATCTTAACAATAAGGTATCCTACTTACAATTTAGAGAGCAAGGACCTGATCAAGTAATAAAAAGCCTTGGTGG